CAAGAGAGGAGTTTGCCTCCAGGGGTAAATGGTGCAGTGAGAAACCCTAGTCTCAATGAGAGGAGGAAGCCACATGGGTGAGTTATGGCAAGCCATCTACACAAAGAACGTGACCGCCAGATCAGATCCCTCACCAGTGCTAGAATCCCAGCATGAGGGCTTGACTTAAGGACTTCAGGCTTCCCAGGACCAGAGCAGGGCTGGTGAGACTAAGCCAGTGAAGTCCACTGCATTTAGGGATCAGTCACCAGAGAGTCCACATGAAAGACAACCTCTTGGCTCAGAGCTTGGCATACACTGCTTGCGTAATACAGCAGCCTTTAGGCATCAAGAAGTTTTCATTGTGCTCAACCCAGCTGCCATGCCAAGAAATTAAGAGCAATTCAGGTCATCGCACTGTTTTGACAACAGTGCAGCAAAATGATTAATTTAGTCTCGATGTGGCTGAGAACAAGGCTCTCATTTGCACTGCTATGGGAATGACATTAGGAGAAGGTGAGCCAGCCGAGACATGGCTAGCCCTTTCCAGATAATAGGCCTCTCTTGCGGCTGGGAGAGAGAATAAAGGGTCACCATACATTAGCTCTAACTGGCTGTACAGAGACAGGACTCAGAAGGCTGCCAGACTGGAAGTGAATGAAACCCTTCATGTGCACATTTGTCTCCAGACGAGGGGCATCTTGCACTATCAGCTGCATTTGAATAAGTTATTCTGTTACAGTTCCCATAGGAAATATGGGACAGCCCATTAGAGATCCAGAAATAGCACTCCACTGCAGTCACAAGATACAACCCCGACTTCATTTTTTTGTCCCTTAGATTTTCTCCAGCTTCCCATAGGATGCACTTGCATCAAGCAAGACTCCCGCTTTGCTTTCACCACCTATCTACTTTGGCCCTTTACACCCAGTGATTGAGCCACCTTCCTGGGAGAAAATAGAGCAGCCTTGGTTACTATATTAGACAAACCCTTTCCTTGTAGGGCAAAGCTTTCAAGTGAATTAGCTAAAATCTCAAATTGTCTGTTGGTTGCTTTTAAGTATAGTGCCATTCTAGTTATCATTAAGGTCAAATGAACAGGAAGTTTACACACATATTAACTGTCCATACAATTGCATACAAAAATGAAAATTTAGGCCTATGAGTACAACAGCACATGCAAAGTCAGACTTCTGTAAAGAATATGCTTGTCTCAGCCTTCTGGAGGCAAGGTCTTCACATTGCTACCTTAAGAGCAAACTAAGATACACTCATTTTCCTGACACACTGGACTCATAAGGTACACGAGTTCCATTGCATATCTAGACACAAGCTGTTTTCTATTGCCAGGAGTACAGAAGAGATCAGGGTTACATTTACAGAGCACAACAGCTGCTGGGAGACAGAGGCAGGAATCTTGCAATAAAGTTTAATCTTTCTTGCAAAGTTCTGCTGAACTCTTTAAGTTTACATTCTCTTAGCACAGAGTCTTTTATAGCGGGATATCCAGATTGTTTTCCAGTGATCATGCAAGCATTTTAAAAGTTAGCCTGCTAACAAAAGTCTATATTCTATGCTCATCTACTTTAGTGCCCTTAAATCAGAACCTCCATCCTAAAGTCTTGCCAGTTAGTTCATGAGCTTTCTGAAGAACGGTCCCCTTCTAGGGTCTAGAGCCATCTAGGGACTGGTTTGGATGATCAGGGGTCTGGGAATACATGGCTAGATTTAGAGCAAGCTCATCTCCAGCACAACTCAAAGCCAAGCTGAACACTGTTACAGAAGAGTCAGTTTGAAATTAATGGACTGCCTGTTCACTGTCTGACAACATAATAGAGCAACCACACTCCAAATCACGTTTTATAAGCCCTCGCCTCTTGTGTCCAAGGGCTGTGGTTTCTATACTGAAACTCAACTCTACAGGAGTAGGTAGAAGATGATTTTGTAGCTTAGAACATGGCTCATATTGCAGGAGCTTTCGTGCTTCAATAGCCCTGTCCACTTGTAAGATACTAAGCACAGGCAGTCAATAGCCTTGTGTGAGATTTTCTATCTAGAAAAACTCACACTATTAGCAGGCAGGGTGGGTCAGCAACGGCACTTACAGAAAGCAGGGAACTAAAGTTGTTTGCATCCTGTCTGGAGGTTTCTCTTTCATTCTTAGTGTTTGAGTTTATACTTTAGCTTTGTTCAAGGCTGTTTAATTTTCTATCACCCATCAGAATTAGTAATCCACACCACAATGACAAATAGTTTCCATCCCACCGCATCAGTGGGAAAACTAGACCTTCATTCCCCTTTGTATCCAGATTTACAGGCAGTGTAAACATAAGTGTCCTGCTTTATACATTGAACCAAACAAAAGTCTGTTCATTTAACAATTGGCTTCTGAAGATTGCCTGTATGTGGCTAGCGTCCTACCCAAAGGAGACCACCCACTTCTTTCATTCCACACTCCCATCCAATGGCTGTATGCTAACAGAGGGAGAAGGTAACTTCTTGTAGTCATTAGGCTGTCAAGCCAAGCAAGTGCAGACATACCAAGAAGAAGCTTGCAGGCGTTTGAAGAGGACCAGACTGCTAGAGAAACAAGAGCTCAGAGAGCCAGTAACACTTTGCAGATCCAGAGATTTGCAGTTAGTTAATGCCTGTTATGCCCGCTGAAGTATAGGGCAGCAACAAAGGTTTTCCTTTTTTTTAAAAAAAAAGAAAAAGGAAAAGAGATTTGCAGTGATAAAAGATTATTAAATGCCCCCTGCAAGTGTTCGTGGAACTCCCAGTAACTTGAATGCTGCATCCAACCAGTTTGCACTAAGAATGTAATAGAATAACTGTTTAAACAGGCTTATTGGGTACAGTAACAGTTACATGCCAGCTCTCAGGGCAGAGCTGCAGGTGGGAGCTGGATGCCACCCCACGCTGTGGGCTCTGAAGTTTATACTACAGAGCCTGCAGCACAGCCGGCTCCCCGGGAGTGAGGCACATCGCCGGGAGCCAGCTCCTGGCACACACTGGCTGCCAGACCCTCCCAGGGAGCCGGCTGCGCTGTGGGCTCTGCAGTATAAGCTTTATACTGCTGAGCTCAGTGTGCAACTGCTAAGATTTCCAGTGTTACACGGCTACCTAATGAACCGCTTTTTAACATCCCTACCTTGCACCCCAGTTTTATGATCCATATGGACACATACCTAGAGCAGGTCTCTACAACAAGCTTGCATCTGCACCAGCACTGTGCTGATGAAGACTCCAAGCAGACAAGAAGTTGCTCTCCTGTTGGTTTAATGGCAACTCCACAAGAGATGGTAGCTATGTGGATGTGAGAAGCTCTCCCACTGACAACTGTCTGCAAGGGGGTTAGGCCAGAATAGCTACATCACGCAAGGATGTGGATTTTTCACATGCAAGTGAGTATTACAGGCACTGGAAGAACTTAGCTCAAGCAGAGTAGCTGGGACAACAGGTCACCCAGTTTCTGGCACGTTCTCCAGAACCTCTGAAGCAGTCTAGATTGTTTTAGAGGAGCCAAGGGTGGAATGATTGGCCCAACTGGATTACAGTTTCCTGCATTGACTAATTAACACTATTGTTGAAAGTGGCTGGTTGTGCACTATGATAATGAAGCAGTGTTCTTGCTGAAGTGTGCCAACCCTAGAAGTCCCATTCACTGATGTACCATGAGCAACCACACAAACTGCTATTTCAGACATGTGGCCACCACACAGAACCAGAGGTGTTTTGGATCACATACACATTTCCCCTGTCCAGAGGGCTGGCGGATTATGGATGTTGATGCACTCTTCAGGCTAGTATATTTAAGGTCCATTTCAAGAGCTAGGAATGTAATGGTGCACCAATTTGCATGCGCACTTAAAACCTGCACGTGCAGTTGCTGTAATAGCATCTGCAAGTGGAAAGGTTTATATACAACTACCCTGTTATGCACAGATCAAGCTCGCACATAAGCCAACCACTTGTATGATCAAACTCACTTATCACATTTTAATACCAAGTCTCCCACAGGATCGTAAAAGGGTGGAATATACCATTTGAGAAGACTGGTAAAGTACAAAATTACTCAAATGTTTATTCTTGGCCATGTCAGGTGACAAGTAGACAGAGAAGCATTGAAATGTTGGCCTCAGTAAGAGGCTTATATCAAAAGACATAAGAGCTCACTGCCCAAACAATATTGTTTTAATGGTCCATGTATCAGAGGTAGTCACTACGGGTTCTTGAAAGTTAAAGTCAAAACTGTTCTGAAGATGCTGCTTCAACTGAACTGAAACATTTTGCAAAGTTTCATCAATGTTGATGAAACAGGATGTTTGGACATTTTTATAACAGGAAGGTTAGATTTTTCCATAAAAAGTAACTGAATATAAAATGAAAGTTTAAAGTTATTTGGAGTAGTTTTGGCATTTTCCCAATTTGTAAGAAATGTGAAATCTTGCAATTTGTGGGATGGAAAACCCCCGTTTCCAGCTAGTTTCACTAATCAGTCATGTCAAGCTATATCCTCCTACCAAAGGCTCTAGCTCCTGGCACTTCAAGACTAGTTTTATAAGGCTATTTTAAATGGATTGCTGTGGGACATATCTGGTGTGTGTGTATAAAAATAAAAGAGGGGTCTTAGACTGAAGTGCCCCAACTCCTGTCTGTGCTAGGGAAACTGCTTGTGTGCCAAGTTGCAGCTTGTTAAAAGAAACATCACAGTTGGATAGTTCTAATGGACAATCTAAATTCTTGATTAGGGAGGTTACTGACAGCATAAACCCTTCCAAAGAATGCTACATGATCAAGATAATGTAAAGAGCAAAGAGGTGCATTGTTACAGTCAGATATTAAGAATGAAATTAAATTTAGACAATTTGCTCCTGCCAAGCAAACATTCCAGTTTGTTGACTTGTTCTCTTTGGCAAGACTTACTAGCTCAGATTAGGAAGAGGTACAAGTTCGCAACCTAGCATAGTTGACTATTAACTAACTAGCAAAAAATGCTGTCCCGTCAATGGAGAGCTTACCTGATATGATAGGCCATCCTTGCGGGGGCTTAGCCCAATTTCATCCATAGATGTAGTATTCATCATCACCTCAGTCATTTCAGCTGATCTCAGATAATCAGGGCTGGAAACAAAGACAGAAACTTTTTCAGCTCTTATGAAGCCCTTAGATGCTGCTGTCCCTGGACAAGATTGCGGTATCTAAAAAAACCTGAAACTTTATACAGCTGCAGATGCAAGAACTGAACTGCTAAACCACTAAATCCTATTTCTGCTCTTCCTCCCTCCTCTGCATTGTAAGGTAGCTAAAATTATTTAGCCAAGGAATCAGTACATGATATTGTGCACCCCAAAAAGTTTACGGGATCTCACTGAGCATTACAACATTTTACCAAGAGTGATTAGAGTCCAATGCCACTTCCTCCAACTGTACCATCAAGTGTAGATAGAAAAAAGATACAGCAAGTGTTTGGTGTGGGTTTAATTATTTTTTTTAAACTCCTACTGACTTATTTTACTACCTCAGGGATTTCCACACCAGTTGAGTAAGAGAAATGCCAATTCCAGGTCTGCTTTTGCAGTCATAATGAAGTTTCCACCTCAACAGTTTGAGAAAGTGAAAAGGATTTTCACAGCTTCTAGTTCCTCTATTTTACATTACGCTAATATTACTTAAACCTATTTATAACCACAGGACTTCATTTTTGCACATACAAGTCAACACACATTGGCCACCAAAATATAAACCATCTGTTGCACCTTGCACCGAAGAAGTCACTTCAGACTAGTTCACACTGCTACTCCAGCTTCCTATGCATGAGCCAGCACAAAAGCATCCCAAAGCACAAGATACACTATTTAACAACTATAACAAGCACAGACAAGGGCTTTGTTCATGATAGCAGAGTGAGACCATAAGATGCATGGGCCATAAGTAGCAGCAGTGGAAGCAGTAACATTGGAGCTCATATTTTCCCCTCCCCAGTCATGAGGAGTTGTGGCACAGCACCACGGTAGGTACCACCTATATGGTAACTGTTCCTTTCCAAGCTCACTAAGCAGTGCCCTTTCTGATGGGGGGACCTCCACAAGTGCACTGCAGTCTAGCTTGCCTACTTGCAATCATCTGCTGCAACATACAGGTGGTGGAAATGAAAGAAGTTGCACAGAATCATTTGTTTCTTTACTAACTATGTAAAAGGAAACATGCAGGTCAGCATAAAATTAGTAAAAACAAGGATTTTTACAAAAACCCGTACGTTCATGCACATTTCTAGGACCATCTGAAACTGCACTAAAACCATTTGTCTGAAACTATTTCCTCTGCCCCAAGTGTTCACAATCCACAGTACTGTATGAGCCAGAAAGTCTATTTTCATCAAAGAATCAAAAGAAAGGAAGTGAACAGTATTGATGGTGAAATGTAGTCAGATGTTTAGAATGCTCAGTTCTAATAATACAAGGTATTAACAGGAGAGGAAGGCTGCTTAACTCAGTCTCCTTTCACAATTCCCCAAAGCAAGGTTGAGGCTATTAAGCAGGGTGATTTTTAATTTGGAAAGGAAGATTGCAACATAAGCACCAGTGCTGTAGAGGGGTAGAGCTCCAGTTATAATTCAGCCCAAATGGAAGATAAGCATCAAGTCATGCAACTGACAGGATGCGTTTTAGGACCTGAACTTTAGCAGCCCAGTGGCTACCTTAAAAAAGTAGGATAAAAAGCAGGCAAGCTCCCTGAAGTTCAGAATCTGCTTTAGCATATAGCTTTAGTCCAGGGCTATTTGGATTTCAGCCCTTAGATGGGTTTGTGCACTGATCATTCAAAGGATGCACTGGGAAAGGAGGCTTACAGACAATAAGCGAGACTGGCCCAGCCTGTGCCCTCTGTTATATAGAGGGAAATCTAAAGAAACTGCTGATTCAGTAGTTTTACTCCAATAGAAGAGCGCACGGTCTGGCCCTATGACTTTACTAAGGGGTGGGCCGGAGGAGGAAGCTGTTTCACGTCTCTCTAGGGAAGTTAATTGGGGATGGGATGAGCAGCTGCCTCCAGTGTTCGCCTTGTCAGTTTCTCCAGATGACCGGCTCGCCTTCTGCTGCTGGGACCAGCGTCCGCCGCTGCCCAGAGTCCCTGACTTAGCCCCAAGGAGGATTGTAACGTCCTAGTGAGCTGGAGCTGCTCGACAGACGCACACACGCAAAGCATTTCCACCTGCCTTTCCCGGCATGGTCCCCACACAGTCCTGCCCGCTCTCCCCCGCCAAGGCAGGGGGAGAGA